CCACCTGCCGGCGGGGAAGGCGGGGCGGGGCGCTCAGCCTCCGGCCCTCGCTGGTCTCCTGTCGTGGGCGTAAGGGCCCATTGTTACACCCCAGCGACCTCCCGTCCCAGCAAGGCGCCTCGTTTTCCTTGCTTCCCAACAGGCCTCGGCCCTTGCTGCGCGTCTGGCCAGGCAGCCCCTTCCCTGCCTGGCGGAGCAGCGTGGGGACCCCTGCGTCAAGCTTTTCCTCATGAAACCCAGGGCCGGGCGTGTTTCGGCTGGGGAGCAGGGCCCCCTGCCTTAGGCTCGCCCCAAACTGCGTACCCAGCTTCCCACCTGCCACCAGGGCCAGGCTCCGCGAAGCCCACGCTGCTGCGATTGGGACACCGCTTTTTCACCCTGGCAAGAAGGGACTCGCTTCTCCAAGGCAGCGCGTGCTTTGTCCGTGGGTGCCTCAGGCCTAACTAGAGTAGGCCAGGGCTGCGCGGGGCTCAGGATCACCGCCCAGGGTTTCTCCAGCTGGATCTGTCAGCACCGTGATGCACTGATAGCATGAAGGCCAGGTTGACAGCTGGGTGTGGACCGTGCGCAAAACAGAAGTAGCAGCATTAGGCCGCGCTGGAGAGTCTTGCCTGAGATCAAAAGTCCCGGCTGAACCAAGTGGAGCACGTGCAGAAGAAACAAGGAGCTTTGACTTGCTCTAAACCAAGCGTGATACCCAATTTACAGAGGGAAAAACTAAGGCACAGTGAGAACAGGTGATTTGTCCTAGGCTGCAGAGAGAGAGGGTAGGCTAGAGGCAGGAACTGAATCCAGACACCCCACATCACCTCAGCATTTTTCCACGTTGCAATGCCAGCGACTGGTGCAGGCAGACCCACAGCCGCTTTGAGAACAAGCTGTTCTGGTACTGCCGGCCCGTTAGCGCACAGCTCGGCACCGGCAGCAAAAGCCACCCAACTGCTCCCTCAGCTTCCCACGAGGACTGTGCAGCCTGAGCCACCCCCAGCTGCACGCCTGACACAAATGGGGCTAGAGAGCTGAAAGCTCACACGAGTACTATGTCTGCCTACACAAGATGCAGGTGCAAAGGCATGGGCACACCCTTGCTGGCAGAGCTGCTTCTTGCAATAGCGTTTCTTCCTATCACATTACGAGTTGTGATGGGAGTTGTGACACACAGAGATCCATCACTGGGTTTACCAAAGCACCGAGACTCGGACATTCAAGATCTGCAAGAAATTCAAGATAGGCTTGCAAATGCGAACGGTTGAATTGCTGGACTCCAGTACCTCCCCTTCTTAATTGCAAGCAACTACTTAGAAGATGCTGGTCATTTCTTTTTTTAAACACAAAATTATTTCGATCCATCCCATAAGCTGTTGGATGGATAGAAAAAACACTTCTTTTGGGAGGCCTGTCTACTGTGAGTTTTCGATTACTTTAAAACAAGAGGACTGAGCAAAAGGCTTTAGCATACTGCTTTCCTGCTGAGAGCAGAGCATCGGACACTTGCAGGTGTCAGACAAATGCATGGATAACCTCTGGTGGCAGTTCTGTTCTCAGGTAGCATTTCCTGCTGGATCTGGGAGCCCGAGCTATTTCTTACATCTGATCTTATTTTGTATTAGGTGCGGCTCCTTTATGTACATGCTTTTCTTTCAAAAGCATTTTTGTCAGCTATTTAATATTTAATGCAACCATGTCTGGGGTGGAACATGGCAGCAAGCCAGTGCATAGCAGCTAGAACTACAGTAAAACAAGGGGATTTTAGACAAGGCGACAGGAAACAACCTTGGCTTTAGCAAGGAAGGAGATCATTGAAGGAGATCAAGAGCAAAGACCACCTCAGTTTGATGTTCCAAGAGGACCACCCCCTCCTGCCCCCATGTACAATAACATTCACCACTTGAGATCTGACTCCCAGTGAGAAGCAAGAAATGAGTTTAGGACTGACCATCAAGTCTCATCCTATGTTCCTGGACCTAGAGAGACCAAGCACAGGCAATCTTGAAATAAATAAATGAGTAAACAAAGGTTGGTTTTTTTTCTTTTGCATTTAATTACAGAGCTCAAATCTAGCACCTGTGATAAAGCAGTGACTCAGGCAGAAGTTAATGCCTTATGCTAGTCCAGTCACACACTGCCTTGACATCACCAAGGGCTGCCCTGGCAATTTCCCAGGAGGCCAAAGGCTCCACCTCCTTTGCATCTGTATTTACATGCATTTCTGTGAAGCTTCTGCTTGTATTCACACCTGCCATGAGATCCTAACGAGTGCAGCTTAACAGCCCCAAAGCTGCCTCATCCTTTGCTTTTTCTTCCAGTCCCCCTTCATTCCATTCTCCATTCTTCTCACTTCAGCAGTTTCTTACGCTACCCGAAGATTATCTCCCGGCCGCAGCCCTGCCTTTTTATCTATTAACCCCACACCACTATCACATTCTCCATTCCTCGCTACCCTGGGTCCCAGTCCCCTGGGAGTCTGTTTACCCTGAGAACCAGGCAAACCACAGCATAAAGCCGAGCTGCCATCAGGCACATGGCTCCAGTTAATTTGTGCAGCCTTGATCAACCTAGGAGCTGTGTTCCCACTGCAACAACACAGCTTTTTTTTTTTTTTAAGCACCCACAGTTCTGCTACAGCACAGACTTTGTGAGAGCTCATTTTAGCCTCGATTCCACTCCAAGCAGCATCCTGACAGGTTAAATATCTTTAATTTGCTGCTAGAGTTAAAAAAAAAGATTATAAGAATAAACCAAGGAGTTGGTTTGGGGTTTTTTTTGGTAGGGGCCAACATAACCAACCAACCCAAAGCCAAGATGTAGAAACTTGTTCTTTGGCTGTAACAGGAGAGGTTCTACAGCAGGACAGAAATTTGACCTGCCCAAACTAACCCACCCATGGATGTTTCAGGGAAATCAAACGCATGCTCTCAAGGTCAGTGAAGTTAAAGACAAGTGCTCCTGGGGCCTCGGGTACAACAGTGCAAGGACCTGTGTAATGCAAGCGACATTGCGCTGAAACGTAGAGACAATGCCCCACCATTTAGCCGCTGCCTCTGGAACCAGTCACTTGGCAGTCTCATGTGAGAGGAGCACTTATGAACAAATATCTGGAGGCTGTCTATATGCAGAATAGATCTGGCACCCTGACAAAATTGTCCTATAATTACCTTTTCCTGGGGCAATCTCCCACTGGGGCACCCTGTGTGCGTGTATATAAAGAGAGGGGTTCATTCTTCACATCCCCTTCAATCCTTTGTTTTGCAGTGACAACAGTATAAACAGGATTGCATCGCGTGAACATTTCCCTACCTGGAAATTTATCAAGACAACAGGAACTGTTTCAATTTCCATTTGCTAGTGCAATGCCAGAGCAACATCACTGATGTTCACACTGCTACAAGTTCAGGATCTGTTTGCATGAAGATGCAGACATACCTGAACTAAGGTGAAAAATAAGGAAGAGGTATTTCATTAACAGCTACCAGACAACACACAGAAGGAGTCCTTCCCTTCCCAAAATGAGGTCTCCTCTAAAAACACTAAGCCCAACATATGCTGGACATTGAGGTTCTTATTATCCTATAAACTAGCTTGGGAAAGTAAGGCAAACGTGAAATGGCTTTTGCAGAGTCACAGCCATGAAGCTCACAGATGCCCCAGGTACTGACTTTCTGGCTCTCATGATAAAAAAAAATACTGGCTCTGAGGAGGAAGAGTTAAAAAATGCACTGGGACTGTGCAACTGCACAAAACAGACTGAAGAGCTCTAGTGCCATTGATCTTTTAGAGACAGGATCAGCACAGGAGAGTTAGTATATTAGCGCCTGACTTGGTCAGACTGGCAAGGAATTTGCTCTTCCTCCATTAGCTTCTTCTGTGTTCCCACAGCTCCAGCTGAGTCCTTCTCCTCCAAGACTAGCAGTTCACAGCCAGTGCTGCATGGTCCATCTCACATGGCTGCTAATGTAGACGTCTTCCTTCTTGCAGGACTGGACATCCCAAGCCAGGACTCCTATACTCAGGCTAGGCCCATGGCCTATTCGATTCCATGGTTAATGAGCTGTCACCTCTCCATTAGCTGTTGGGAGAAGACCTGTGTCCTTGCTCTTCCTGCTCTTCCAAGCATTGTACTTCTTCATCATTTTCCTCTTAGCAAACCTGCAAATTTTAACCACGAACCCCAAAGACACTATGTACATGGCTAGGCCTCCAACCTTGAGTAGCCACATGGGCTCTGGGGAGGTAACCATAGCATACATGATCCAGGCTCCAGCTCCAATCCGCAGCACTAGAAAGAGGAGCACAAAGAAGAAGTCCACCATGCCCCCCAGCCAACTGTGGTAGCGGCCCGTCTCCCGCAGGAACCAGCGAGCCTGCAGCAATGGATTGGTGATCTCACTGACGAAGACAACAGAATTGACCTCAGTGGCTGACCGGCCGATCCCCAGCACGATCGCCATGCCGCAGATGCTCAACGTGTGATGGGCCAGCATGAGGATTCCCTCCGTCTGGAAGTACAAGCACCAACTCAAATCGAAGATGAAGTAGCCCAAGGCAATGGAGAAGGCGCAGACCTGCAGGGGTGTGTTTGGTGACCCTGGAAGACAAAGAGGCATGTTAGCCTGAGAAGGGACATTCCTCTGGCCAGCACTGAGTGGAGAGTGTTTTAAGATAATTTCTTCCTTCCCTTTCTCCAAAGCATTAGCTTGCTATTCAGCTCCAGAAGAACATGATACGTACTCAGTAGGTCAGTTTGCTGACCCCATGAAGGCCCAGCCTGGGCTGCCAGTCAGTCACAGTGGAGAGCCTCTGCAATGCTGTCCATCCTCCCCACACCTCCAACATGCCCTACCTTACTCTTTGCACAGGAGGGTAATGGGGAATCCTCCCTAAGTTCTAGCAGTGCATTAATTGCCCTTATAAACTACCACAGTATCAACCAGGAGTTGAAGCAAGGGACACAGTTTGACTCCTATGCACTGGCCTGCTTATTGCTGAGGCTCCAGGAAAGGACTGCACATTAGTGATATGAGTGGACAAAGAGTTGTGTTCAGTCTTGAGGAATTATCCCATGTGATCATGGCACTTGGACAAGGAACTGAGAGCAAAAGTCCTACCCCAGGGAATTTCAGCAGATGAAAGAGTCAACAATCAAAGAAATGCAGCCTCTGCAGACTCTACCTGGGATATGAGACACCAAATAAGCTTGGGAGAAGTCAACAAGGTTGGAAAGAAAGGCCAAGTACTGGGTTTCAAGAAGGACGGGGAAGAGGGTGCCGCAGGAAATGGAGAAACCACCTCCTACACTGATCGCAGGTCCAGTGAAGGCACAGCTACTGCCCTGTCTCAGCAGGGCAAAACTCCAAACATACCTGCATGGGTTAGAGGTGAGGGGCCATCCACTAGAACGATGTAACCTGAGAGAAAGGTGACAACCACTCCATGCAACAGAGTGACCAGGCGGCAGCTCCATTCATAAGACCGATTCTCATTCCAGGAGCAGAAGATGGCATAGAGGAAGAGCCAGCCGGACAGACTGCAGGCCACTTGGAGAATAATGGGAAGCATCATGCTGGGGCAGGGGGAGGAGGGAAAGGGAGAAAGAGAGAGAGAGATTACATGTGAAGCAATCCTGTTTAAAAGACAGCTTCTCCCCACCCCTATTTGTAATAACTATCCCTAATATACAAGTAGATCTTCTTGGACAGGAACCAACAGGTATCTGTGACAGTCCAGGTGGAAGACAAATACTGCTGGGGCCCTGGAGAGATGTACAAGGCCATCAGGAGTAGCGCACACAATACACAGCTACCTACTCTAATTCAGCATGGGATAACAGAGGAGCAGGTAAAAGCCCATTTTGCCATTAGCAAAATGCTGCCTGAGGGTAGACCAACATAACTTACACTGTTAGCATTTTACCCCAGATTCTTTTAGGGTCAGTTCTCCAACTGATACAGCAAAGTTACCCCACTTTAGGGGCTTGCAGCATCTGCCTGGTCCTTTTTGTTTGCTTGTTTTCACACAGATATAAATGTTTCATCTCTCCAAGCTCTTCATAACGTAAGATCCATCCCTGACTCTTACTCTTACCCAGAATCATCCTCCCATACCCTTTGGGCCCACATAGGCACGTTTGCATTGCCACAAAACTGTGCGTGTCACTAAAAACTTCAGTATATTTGTAAATAGTAAATCCCAGCACCCAATAACCTATTTTAGTGGATAAACATGAGACTTCAAGTGAAAGCCATGACCCTATGTTCACAGAACGACAGCAAGCGATGCCTGCAAGGGACCTTACAAGGTCATCTAGTCCAACCTCTTGCTCAAGGCAAGATCGTCCATCAAACCATCCCACTCTAGTGCTTGTCTGACCCTGCACTGCTTAATCTCCACTGATGAAGACTGTACAGCCTCCCCTATAATCTGTTCCAGTGCTTAACCACCCTCATAGTTGGAAAGTTCTTCCTCATATCCACCTTAAATCTCCCTGATTGCAATTCTTGCCCCATCTCCCTGCAGACACAGAGAACAAATGAACATGTTAATGACCTGTCCTTTATTATATTAGGACTTCCATTTGCATGATATACCCAAAGGCATTCTCCCGTCACTGGGAGAGAGATCTGTCTTTTACCATCATGTTATTAGAGGAATGCAGGGTAGCCAGAGCCCCAAGGCACAATCCCAGTCCCAAAAGCGTGCAGGTATTTCTAGATCAGTGGTTCTCAACTTTCTAGACCTACGGCACCCCTGCTTAGACTCAGGGCACCACTCATTAGACTCGGGGCACCCCACCATAACTCTTGTGAACTAAGCAACACTCCATTTGGAAAATTCATTAATTTATTTGAGTACTTACCTCCGTAGCCCAGACAGAAAGCAGTACTATTGTAGCTATTTGGCTACCAACACCTCAGGTAGCTCAGTTTGAGTCTGTAAGTTCCCTTCCTCCATTGTACACCTGAGAATGCTGCTGTGAAGCAGGCCCTTCCCACCGACTCCCCCTAGAAATGGTCCTGAGTGTACCTCAAAGTCCTGCTCTGTGACTCTCTACCTTGGGCATGCTGCCTGGCACCTGCTCTGGGCCGCACTCAGCTGGCTATGCCACCTCACTTCCAACTTTGGCGTTCGTAGAATGGGAGAGCATGGGCAGGGTGGGCTTCTCAGCAGGGATCCAGCGGGGTCACTGTAGAGGTGGTGTGAGAGCACCTCTGCCCTGCAGTACACTGCGCGGTGCAATACACCCCGTGCACAAGACCCCTGACAACAGATGGATACAACAGAGGTGCAGCCCAGGGAACCAGCAAGATAAACGGCAATCTGGCAGCATCCCCACTTTGTGGTAAGGAACAACCCCAGAGCCCAGGCACTCACCTTGGGAGCAAAAAAGGGACCCAGTTCATTAGCTGGCACCAACAGGCGGCTCCTATTCTCTACGGTTCAGCTGC